ATGCATCAGAGAAGGGAGACTCCGAGCTACATGCATAGAAACCATGGGAACAGTGAGAATTTTATCTGGTTTACTTGACCTCAGCTTCCTCAAAGGGAAATGTGAGAAAGGTATAGTTCTAATGTCTCTTCTTTCGTATGGGAGCTAATACACAACCATCCAAGTGTTCTGTGGATCTTTGGGCAAGGGAAGGACTGAGAGCAGTATTGTCCTTTTTGACACAAGGACATATGCTATCATCTTATCTGTTTCTATTGGAACATGGGGTGGCTGCATTCAACAAATGATACTTAGGAAGCTGTCACATAATACCACCTTGATGTAAGCCCTTCAAACCAATTCAAAGTGTTTTTTGTTGTCACTTCTATCCCTGTGTATATACAGGAACTGGTGCAATTTATGCTTGCACCTGTCTTGAAGGTGTCAGAGGTGATATTCTCAATTGAGAAGAGCCACATGTACAGAAGAATTCATAGCTTTGTAGTTCCACAACCTACATGACCCCTTTGAGCTGTGGTCACTGAGATTTGCTGGTTGAGATTTGACAAAGAGAAACTGCCTCTACCCAGAGGCATGCTTTGAGGTTTTAGACTCATTGCCTGCCTGACCCAACCACCAGGTACACATCCATTTTTTAAAAGCAGCACTTTGCCTGCTGCTATTGAGCTGACCCATGGAGACCTGACGACTCTCTGAATTGCCAGTGTCATTTCGAGCTGGACAGCTCAGAGTCCACTACTAACAATGTGGGAAGGATGCAAGAGCTGCACTGGTCAGATAGAAATGGGACGTTCAGTGACACATCTGGGTGGCACAGCAATATCTCATTTTGTGTGAAATAGTTACAGCTTCTTCTCTTGGAAAAACGCTATATCTCAGCTTGCCACCTGACTGTAAGTCAGCACCTCGGTGGTTCTCTATATCCACAAGTTCCCCTAAATGTCCAGGATTGGGTCACACAAGTGGTTCAGCCTGAAGGTGCCAACTGGCACCAGCAGCAGCTTTGCAGAGTCAGCATTGATGTGGCCACTCCTCTCAGTGAACACACTCAAGGCCCTTATCTTAGTGACTGCTAAACTCCCCTTAATAAACCTTGCTATGTTTTTCTTGCCACTTAATAGTTTGTCTGTAGCCCCGGTGTTTTGTCTGCCACTCAGAACACTAAAGCTGGCAGATTAAAGGCCCCTTTTACAAAAGCCACTAATCGAGGTACAAATCACTGCTGCCACACTGTGGAATCCAGAGGCCACAACATAGCCCAGTCCTCTGCCAAAAAACTGACTCCTGTCTTAGAGCTGTGAACTCATCTTCTAGCTTTGCAAACAAGCTTTTTATTTTGATTACTTCGCCTTGCTCAGAGAGCTTTTTATTGAAATTTTTACTGAGACAATGATTGATTCACATAACATTTAACTGAGAACTTTACCTGGTTACATTGAAGAAATAATACAATAATGTGCACCATATACTGAGTTTGCCCCAGTGGCATTATTTTTGGAGAAATTATAGTATGATATCACAAGTAAGATACTGAAATTGATTCAATCCATCCATTATTTAGGTTTCTTGAGTTTTACAGATTGTGTGAGTACATTTGTGAGGTATGCATGTGTGTGTTCACTTGTGTAATTAGTTCTGGACAATTTTGCAATATGTGCATGCCCTCAGATAAGCACCAGTCAGTATGCTGGGGAGTTCGTCCTCACCAGGACTCCTCCCATGATTACACCCATCTCCATCCCCACACTCTGCCGAAACCCTGGAAAAATAAAAGTTTTCCACTTCTAAAATTTGATTATTTAAAAATGTTATAGGACTACAGTGATATACATTTGTAAACTTTGAGTTAATAACTATAGTCTATAGCTTTTGACATTGTCCTACCATGTATCTGGTCTCTAATGACTCATGTTCTTCCCAGATGTGAAATATGCACTCTTTTAAAAAGCCTTTCCAAGAATCTCACCACGTGATAATATGTATTAGCTCAAACTCCAAAGTCTTTCCAAATCTTATCTCAAAATCCAAGATCGCACTATGCAAGTCACATAAAGCATGTACAGATGAGATTTGTCTATATAATTATCTAACCACAGCCTCTCGGGCCCAATTCTTGTTCATCTGTGGATGCCTGAAACCAAACTGGCAATTTATCTCCCTCCAACACTACAAACACTCAACAATGGGAAACACTGAATAGAATGTAAGCTTAAAAGTCATCACTTAAAGTTCTGAAATCTAGCAAACACAGAATTTCTTTGATTGGGTGTCAAGATTTGGTCATACTACTATCAGTTTTATTCTACTTTATGGTGGCTTAATTCTACCCTCTGAGCCACTTTTCTTTCGCTGTAAATGTAGCATATATTTATAAATAAGTAGTTTATTAGATGGCTTCCTGTGGATGGAATTCAGAATTAGCCTCCTTGAATTCTGCTTCCCTTCTGTCCCTCTTGTATTTTGTGCTAACACTGTGTGGAAACAGTTTCCTTAATTAGGGGCTCTCATACAATTCGTTAGACCGAAACCATTTTATGGGAATCTTGAAGCTAATCTGCTATCTTGGCCTTCTGCTGATATGTCTAAAGTATTATACTTCTAAGATTCCTACATACTCCCTGTTTGAGTGAAAAGATCTGAATCTTATCTTTAAGTTCTTGAAAAGATTCTGTATATGAAATGTTCATCTTTCTGAAATCTTTGCAAAATATTTAGTAATAACATGCCTAGGCTTTTTCTCTATGCCCAAATTTCAGAAGTTTCCACCTTTTATCATATTTTGCTCTTTAGAAAAGATGAGAATATTAAAAAGTCATCCAGTCCTGTTTCATTTGTATTTAATAGTCCTTCATGAAGTCTTTTCCTTCCCTTCCTCCTCAGATAGCACCTTCAACACTTCATGCAGAAACCTCTCTGGGTATATAAACAGCTTCATTCCTTACAGCTTTTTTAGTTTTGGTTTGTTTTTCTAGACAAGGTCTTACCATGTAGCCCAGAATGACTCATATTCACTGTGATCTTTCTATTTTAGCCTCCAGAGTGCTGGGATTATAGGTGCACATCACTGTAGGAAACAGCCTACAATCACCTTGGCTTTATTCACTCAGTTTTGGGCAAAAGCAATTAGGGGTCCCACGGGATTCATCTTTCTCCAAACCACGAAGCTACTTCCCTGGGCAAACAATTTAGCTTCAGGTGTGTTTACTTTTCCCTGCTGTGTTTAGCACACTTGCATGCCCTCTTCTCAGTGCTCACCAAAGAGGCCAGTTGGGCCTTATTCTTACCGTCTGATTGCCCACACGTCACCACACCAGACATTCCTTACAATTTTTGCTGTTCACATAATTGCAGAATATAATTAAACCAAGCTTATTGCCAATATATAAGGACTCCATTTCTTCCAGTTTCTAACATCCTTTTAAACACTCATGATAAAATCGTTAAAGTTCACATTTGTACTAACAGTTTGGGTTGGTTAATCTTTTTTTCCTAAGGGCAGTAGGATTTTTTTTTTTTCAGTGCTCCTCAAAACTTATTCCAGCCTCCACTTACTAGTTCCAAACTTGCTCTCACATTTTAAGTATCTCGCAAAAACAAAACTCTACTTCCGCCGTCAAAATCTGTAATACAAACTGCAGTATGGGAAAGTAGTAGAAATGTAGTCACATTAGATGACTCACAGCTATTATCTCACAAGTTACTGCTGGTCAAGAGTTCAGCCTTACCTCCACTAGGTACTCAATTCAGGGTCTCACAAGGTTGCAGCTACAGTTTGGGTCAGGGCTATTACTTCACCTGAGGCTGGGAGTCTTTCTCAAAGGCCCAGTTCTAATTGTGGGACTGAGGCCCTCAGCTCCTACAGATTGCTTCCCATTTACTAACACCTGGCCCTTGCCAAAACCTGATAGTTTGTTTCTTTATATCCCCTAGGTATGTATCCCTGCTGTTTCCAATCAACTTTAAATGGCTTACTTGATTAAGCTTCTCCAGGATAATATTCCTTTTGATTTAATTAAAATGAACCATTTAAGGACTGTAATTGGATCTGCATCTCTGCCATGTAAACTTACAGAATCAAGTGGCATCTGCCATATTCTTGGTTCATATACTTATAATAGAAAATTATGAAAGAGTAGGTCCTATGGACATTGTATTCAAAATTATTTTTACATTTTTATTCCATCTAATATATTTACTGATTCCTTAAAAATAGAAGTAATCCTTAAGGATTTTACTAAAACCCTATGGTTATTGTCTTGATCCATTTGGGCTGCTATATAAAATATATGATACACAATGTCTATATACAATAAAAATTTATTTCTTAAAGTTTTGGAGCCTGGAAAGTCCAAGAAGAAGATAAACACAGATTCACTGTCTAGTGGAGGGTTACTTCTTTATTCAAAGATGTTCATCCTAATGCTTTAATGATTTTAAAAATGAGGGAGATCCCTGGAGTCTCTTTTATAAGGGCATTGTCCCTTCCATGAAGGTTCCACTTTCATTATCTGAGCGCCTCCTTGAGGACACACCTGGTAGTACTCTCAACAGTAGGATTTAACACATGAATTTGAGGAGGACATAAGTAAGCATCAGTGTAGGAATAGCAGTTATTTTACATGGTGACTTGTGATAATATAGAGCTTCAATGAGTATCTATTGCTTAAATTAATTGCTTCATTCTCTAAATGTTGCACAGTGCCTAGCAGGGTTAAGCAACCAAGATAGAATCGAGCACTGTGAAAATAAGGAATTAATATACCTTTCCTATCACTTACACAAGTGAGACAATAGACTTTGAAGAAACATTACATCTTAGTGTATAATTACATCATATTAGTAGTTTTAAAGAATTTTAATAATTCACCTGAGAAAAGTAAGTTAATTATAACAAAAATAATTTTGGTGATCACTGTTTTAATTAGGGTGGAAAACTACTGTAAAAATAGACTCACAAGAGTAAAATGATTCAAATATTTATAGGCATAATTTTTTCTCACCTAATGGCCCAAGAAAGGTTTTCTTGATTGGTAGGCAAGTTCTCTCCCCATTGTTGTTCAGCATCTCGCATAGGATTTGTTTCCAACTGCATACAGTTAGAGGAATAAGATTAGAAAAGCCCACCTTGAAAGTGCACAGATAACTTAAACTTAAATCTCACTGGAAAGACGCTGTAGCCAAATGTTGATACTTTATCTGCAAATAAGCATGGGACATGAAACCCCATTGTATATCAACTTGCATCTGTCCCCTTCATTTACTACAATTATCTTAGTATTATTTTGTCTTTGTTGACTTATGGCTTCAATGTCTTAAGATAATTCATATTTCTTGTTATACAATTATGTTCATTAAAAGTACGAACTTTTAAATTCAGTGTTAGCATTATGAATTTTTGAGTTTACTTTTCTAATTTAAGGAGAGAAAGACTGAAAAGGTTAATTAATTCAATCAACTTCCTTTCTGTTATCTCCATAAAGTACCTTTCTGAGGTTCTAATTAACTCACTAAGAATAAATGGGCCTTCCCCTCAAGGAGCTTAAAATACTGCTTATTGAATGTCTTACCTGTGGAAGCCAGTCATGGCCCACTGGCATTCGACATTTGAAAGATAACTTCTTTCTTTATAATCAAGGCATTGACACAATGTGTGGTCAGGATGTTCCTAATTAGCATGTGTTAACATTTGTTCCTTTTTAAGGACTGCACGTGTTAAACTTGTTTTTGACCCTGCACGGGAGGAACTCGGATAGCCAAAGATCTGATGTTATCTGTAGGAGTCAGGTGCTTCCTGTTAAAGATCTGACGTTGTCTGTAGGAGTCAGGTGCTTCCTGTTGATGTGCCTTTAAAAGGCCGGTGCTTGCCGGCAATAAACGCCGCCTTGATCAGACTCTTGTCTTGGCGTCCTTCCTTTCTCTCTGCCCCATCTCCACCCCGCTGCTCTTTCAGGTTTGAGACACTGCTGGACAGTGCTCTGCGTTGCGGGCTCGCGACACTTACCCTAATTCATAAAGCCAAAAAAGTCTAGAAATAGGCTGAGGATCTTAATGTCTTAAATATTATTTCACTGCAGTTTTTAGTGCATGTTTTAGTAAATGACTATTAATATTCTTAATTCAATCAAGTTAACACAATTAGATGTCTTATAAGATTGATGAAGGGAAAATAGATAATAAAAGATTCTGCGGTTAATTTATACTATGTACTAGTTCTGTGGACCCTTGACTTACGAACTTGATCAGTTCCTCAGGGAGGGTTGGTTAGAAGTCAATACAGCTGAAATCTGGATGGTTACATGGGTATACACTATAGGTAACAAGAATCAGATGGATCTTCAGTTAACCTAATTAAACCCAGTTGTTTCTATGTCTGGCGGGGGGGGGAAAAAGTAATTTGAGTGTGCAGTGCCTATCTGCTCCTTGTTATCAATAATGTGTAGTCAGGTAAATATATAGATCTCAGCTGTACTGACTTATAACAAACTTGAGTTACAACCAGCACTCAAGAACCAAACAAGTTCATAAGTTAAGGATCCACTATATCAGTATTAGCTTTATTTTTTCAAAGAATTTATTGATACATGTTTTGTTATCAAAGTACTCTAAGATGAAAGATTCACCAAAATCAATAATTAGCTATGAAATATTTTTTAAATCACAACCGTGTATAAAGTTTAAATTTCTCAAGCATATTTTCTCAACATATTGATTCTTCCAGTTTTGGTTTTTTTTTTTTTTTGGTACCTACCAGGGATGGAACTCAGAAACTTGTGTTTGTGAGGCAGGCAGCCAATTTTATTTTTAATAAATATTTTGCCTGTTAGGTGATGGATAGGTTAATGACTCCCAAAGACATATACACATCTTTATCTCTGGTACCTAAGGAATATATCCCTTGACTTTTGTGGTATAATTATGTTTGAGATGTTGAATGTTGAGATGGAAAGATTATTCTGGATTATCCAGATTATGTGATGTAATCATATGAATCCTTAGGGTAAAGATTTCTTCCAGGCTGAGGAGAGGAAAGAGATACAGAGATGGAGAGGTAGAGGGAGGATAGAGGAGAGAGGAGGTAGGGGGGAGAGGGAGGGGGAAGGAGCCGGGAAAATGGGGGAGGGGAGGGGAAAGGGAGAGAATGAATATCAATACTTGCATGACATAGCCAAGAAGACATAGAAGTATGACAGAAGTGCTGTACTGTGGCTTTGAAGGTAGAGAAAACGAAGTAACAAGATAAGGAACAAAAACGGCCTTAAGAAGCTGGAAAACCAAAGAAGTGAATTCTTCTCCAGAGTACTCAGAAAATAATTCAGCCAATTTATATTTGGTTTTGGTCTTGTAGGACATTCTTCAGATTTCTAACCAACAGAAGTATGATAAATTTGTGTTGTTCAAAGTGATGATACTTTTTTTTTATAGGCATGGAAGGAATACAGACTGGTAACAGGAAGTGAGATGACACCATAAAGTATCAAAATCTGAAATTATTTATAAATCAGAGTAGATTCAAAGGTACTGTTCGACAATATTGCTATGCTTGTTGATTGTGAAATCAAGGAATAGAATTCTAAGATTTTTTTCTCCCCGCAAAATGGAGGGAGGCTAAGTAGGAGAAAATTGCTCAGGAAATCATCATAGAAAATCTTTTGAAAATACTGATATCTCCATCTAAGGAATTACAATGGCTCTTGAGCTTCTGGGTTATTCTTGAGATTTTTTGAGAATACACAGTTCTACCCTAGAAGAGGTGGTGGTACCCGGTGTCTCAGTCAGTGATCCTTTAAGCAGAACACTTTAACGTTGTACACTTTGGATGCTTTTGACCGCGGTGAGGATTTGTTTAAAAATTATAATAGGAATTTAGAACAATGTGTGGTAAAATGGTCACAGTTTTCATGCACCATTAAAATCATATAAGATGTCTATAAAGATAGATCTGTCACCGAACAAACAGATTATATTTATCTAGACCCCTCAGTGATTTATTTTGCTGAAGATTCCAACAAAAAGAATAATATATGCCTAAAAATTGAAACATGCTGAAAAATGGTTATAACTGTTTTTAAGCTTTTAAATTATTTAACTATTGGTAATTATATAATTCAATTTTATAAAAGTTTGTGCTAAGTACAGTCTGATATTAAGGGACATGCATTATTTATGCAAAGTCAACACAGGATACATTAACTGGAGTTCAAGTGTAAAGTTCTTTAGAAGGAGAAGCTAATCATTTCATTTAAAATTATCTATCAGTGAGAGATATATTTTTCAGAAAGAAACTTGCTGCTATATTTCAGTAACTTGCTTGTTTTTACAGTGGTTCTTTAGTTGCTGGCCTTTTCCTGAATAGGACATTATGTCAAATGCCTTGCTAAGCTGAAATTTTAGTAATTTGCTTCGTTTCCTGTGGTTATTTTTAACACAGCATTCTGAAATGTTTCACATGTATAATTTATCACCTTTTTTGTTCTTCTCTGAACTCATATAGGATAAATAAAATGTAATCCCACCATAGCTGTAACATTAAAATGAATTGTAAGCAATATGGCTTGACTTTATTGCTTCCATATTAATTTCAAATATATGCTTGCTTAGGGTACTAAAATTTGCAACATCAATCCCAGCAGAATCCTCTGTGATAATGTTGGAATGTCCTGCTGGAAGATTTATACAGAGTATTGACAAGAAAAAATTTCAATTATGACTCTGCCACAATAATGTATATTTAAAAACACACTTATATTCAAATAATACATCAATTAAACTTCCAGACTGAGTATTTATAAACTGAAATCTGCAACAATAAGCAAATCCTATCTTTATGTGTATTATGAAGTGTAAGACTTTTGGTTTGTTCCAAAACTCATTCTGTGTACTTTTCTTGTATAAATACATATTAACCAATGATTTCCCATCTGTAATTATTATTTTCTACATGAAGTAACTTGAGATATTTTTTTCCTTAATAAACAACCCCCATGTGCCAGTCACTTCAAGATCTTACTTGTTCATGGAATCATGACATTTCTTGGGTAGTCATTTTGTATTTTAGCTAATTTTAATCTCTCCACCAAAAATTGAATTTCACAATTTGTTTGAGAAGTTTATTTGGCATGTTCTATTTATATTTAACTATTTGCCTTGCCTTCCCACTCTACTATTCTGAATACATTAGCGTTGGAAATATTTCTAAAAACAAGACCAGTCATCTGCAAATTCTGTCTGTTCTTTAATTCTGCAATCTACATTCTTTTCACCTTTCTGGACTAATTGAAACCTGGCTTTCCTGTGGAGAAGTGATCCTGCTGATCTCTCAATGCTATCTAATTTTATTCCCCAAGTCTTTTTTTTGTAGTGACCTTGGTCATGGATAGATATTCCTGTTCTCCAGGGTTTTCTCCATCCCTCCACTACAATACTCACACACAAAGACAAGCATAAATCCAGTTTCACCATCCACTATCCCAGACACCTATAGAATCTTCCTAATCAGATAATTTAGCACTTTTCACAGAGAGAAAACACATCAATGTACCCTGACTTTTCTATTTTTGACCTGTTCTTATCACCTTGATCTTCATGGATCTTCAAGCATACATTCCATGGTCATATAGTACATATTGTCATCATGAGTAAGTACAGATATGATCATAAACTAAGCCTCAAACATCCGCTCTAGAGGGAATCTTTTGCTATATAGTTTAAGTCTAGAGTGTCCCTCAAGGGCTCATGAGCTAGAGGTTTCATCACCAGCATATGGTGCTATTGGGAGGTGATGGAGCCTTTAAGGGGTCAGAGCTAGTTAGGAGGAAGTTAAGTCACAGAAGGGTACCTAGGAACAGGGACACTAGGACACTGGGCCTTTGTGTTGTATTTCTTTGTTTCCAAATCACCATAAATTGGTTCCATATTATGTTCTGACCATGGTTTTCTGCCTTGTCACAATCCTAGCAATGGCCTGAACCAATGCTGTGAGCAAAAAATATATCTTTCCCCCTTTAAGTTGATTATCAAAGGATTTTTTTCTGTGACACATAGATACCTGATTAATACACCTTCCAAAGCCTCCCCGTAGCACACATTACAATACTCAAAATGTAATGAAATCTTCAACTTTTAAAATGTATTCCCTTTTTTGTTATCTCATTCATCATATACTCTTTATTGAGCTTAAATTCCACAATCTATTGTCATCCTCTGCCATGTAGTCTGAGTTCACTTGGAAAAAAAATAACTCAAACAAATGCTACCTTTCTTTCCCTCTATGACTCTCCTCATTTAGCTACATGTGGCTGAATTAAAAACAAAAGACTTAATGATTTGTCTCACACTAAATTCATGATCTCAAGCAAGCTCCTAAAGCAGCCTACTCGTCATTCTGTCTTTCTCTAGTCCATTCTCTCTCCCTGTCTTTTAAATAAATTTATGCTGTCTCCTTAAACTTCCAACACCTCTGTCCCCATCCTCAGTCTCCAAAGAGAATTTTTCCTCCTGCTTCACTGAGAAAATTAAAGCAAGCAGAGGAGAACTGAACACATCTGCCCACCTCCCTACACCTGTGCTTTGCTGAGGCTGTAGTGCACTTTGTGCTCGAGCTACCCTTGTCACGCCCCTTCAGTTGCACTGCTCACACCTTTCCCTTCCTGCTCCTGGCATCCAATCTCCCCTTTCTGCTGAATCTTTGTTATGAGCACCTCCACTTTGCTCCCTTTTAGAGCAAACCACATTAAAAGAGATTTTATTCACGGTCCCTGATTAACTTCTTCTTCTCCCCTAAATCAAATCCAATAATGATTTACTCACAGTTGTCAGTGGCACTTAATCTTCAACAAAGTCACAAAGAGACTATTTTGCTAAATCCCATGATCAGTTCTTGGGTCTCATGTAAAGCTGAGTCCCCCATAGCATGTGATGCCATTGATCAACTTCTTTCCACTTGTTTTTCTTTTCCACTGCTCCTGAAACATCTATCAAACCGGGACATTATTATTGGATATGCACTCCACATACATTCATATAGTTTCAAGGCTTTAAACGAATGAAGATTCTACATGACAAGATTTGACATCTCTTTTAAGGATTAGCTCAATAAATCAAATTTATTGCTTGATATTTCCACTTTGTTTTCAAATTCCTCGTGTGCTTAAATATCTAACAGTTCCTAATTTTCCCTCCAAAGCAATTTTGCTTGAATCTGTCCCATCTCATGATGACCTATTTCACTTCTTCTAGTTGCAAAAGTCAAAAGATCTATGCCATTTTATCTTCCCTTTTTCTTTCATTCAACATGTTAAAATTATATTTCCAAATGTACCCAGAGTCTAGCCACTTCCTAGGCCCTCCTTGCTGCCTGTTGATCCCAAGCCTCCATAATCTCACCTGCTTTGCTATGAGAGCATTCTCAAGGGGCCTTTTTGCCCCTATTCTTATTTCCCTTTTAGCATGTTGATCCTGTCAGAACACAAACCAGATCGTTTTCTCTTTTATTTGCACATCTCTTAATGGTTTGCCACCAAATGCAAAGCAATAGCTAAATTCCACGCAATGACCTAAATTTTGCATACATCTATGGCCACACCCACGTCATCACATTATCCACTATTCTCCATTTTCTCTGGCCTTAGTCATCTCTGCATTCTAATGGCATCCAGTTTTCCGATCCTTCCCTCTGTTTTCCCCTCTGCTTTGACACCCTTATTTCAGATATCTATATGACTCATTCATAGATTTTAGCATTGCATTAAGATGGCCCTTTGGAAAGATTTCATTGTAATCTCAACTAAAATCTTGCCCTTTCTCCCTCTTCTGTCTCTTTTCTTTTATTTACTTACTTGTTTTTTTTCACTTAAAGGATTTCTTTGTAACCTAACATGTATTTGGGTTTTAGTTCTCGGCTGTTTCCCAAGTGTTTGTGATGGAGGTTTGAATTAAATATTTTTGTTTGTTTGTTCAGGTTATAACTGTCTGAAAATGGTAACCTTATATGTGTGAACCATGGGTGTTATTATGTTTGCTATTTCTTCTGGAAATAAAGCATATGACCTTGGATTTTACATTTAACCATAAATCAAAATGAAGTGCAATATTTTAAGTGTCATGAAAAAAATCAACTAAGGAGAAATAATATATTTTAGATAACACTAATGCATGTTGCCAGAAAATAGTCATCCTATTTCCTACTGGCACACTTGGCTGTACTGCCAAGTCTACCTGCTCTCTGCTGATGACACTGCTCTGTTTTTTCCTTGCTGATTACTGCTTTACAAAATGCCCTGGCACCATCCCAAACTGCTTAATTTCAGTGTCTTGAAAGAAGCCTTTATAGCTAACTCCTTATGGTGACAAATCAGGGTAATTGCCATGGTCCCCATTCGAGGGGCTTTGTGCTGCTAACAGTAATTGCTGGCTCAGCAGTGGTTTTCAGGGAAGCAGCTGGCAGAAAGAAAGATCATTTTCTACAATCGATATAAAAATGACAATAAGTTCATTTGTAAACTCACAGTCAACCATGTGCCCTTCTACCAAAAGTGATTATATCTTTCTGAGTGTACCAGGGCAGTCAGGATATATGTAGCTCATTTTGTAACTTCTTTTCCATTGAAAGCTCTGTTGGACATTTATTTTATTAATATTTCTCTTGGAGAAATATTAACGCAGCATAAGTCTTGTGGAAGTCCCTCTGGAACAAGATTGCCCAATGGAACATCTATCAAATCCTGGTTGATTGACCATAACAAAGAGTCTGGGAAGAGAGAAAACTGCCTGGAAGAGACTGAAGGAGTGAGCTTGATTACTACACTGGAAAGTGAAAACGGGCCTACTCCTCATCCAGAGTGGGGAGAAACCTTGATGCTAAATACCATCAAAGGACATGATGAGCTACTGTCTGGCCTACTACTTGAGCTGAATGGAGTCAACAGCTGGGAGTGGTGCCCACTGAATATGAAGAATGGAAACAGAAGAAAATACATGTTTATATCAGAAAGTAGGGGAGCAAATTCTTAGCTCAACCCTAGGGATGCCCAAAGGGCTCCCAGGTGAGAGGTCTCTGCAGGAAATACAAAGAGAAGGCACCAGTGATGTCAATAGTGATCACACTGGCCACAAAGTGTCATCAGTGTAGTCAGAGTTGTACCAGAAATCTCCTGCAAATACAGCGAAAAGCAGACATCTGGACAGGTGCTCTTTACACAGTTGTTTGAAAGAGTAAGAATCCAGGTGAAGCATAAAGAGGATTGTAATTTGAGGGATACACACCTGCTCTCTTTCAACATGGGAACTCTGTAAATTCTGGCATTTTGAAAGGTGAAGACTTCTATGGGGTTAGGGGGCCACCAAACCAGGCCCTTTAGCAAATAATTCTAATGCTATTGTCTTCTTGCCTTCTACATACATTTTCACTAGCTGTGACCTGGAGAAATATCTATTATGAGTAGCTGATTTTAATTGTGAGATTTAAACTTAGGCTAAAAAATTCTGGGTCCAGAAGAGTTCTGGGGCAGAAATGTAGATTTTTTAAATTTAGTAACCCTTTATCTCAGTGCTGTATTCCTCTCTTCTACTATGTCTGTAAAATTGAAAAATCTATTCACTGAGTTCATAGTTTTTTATTCTATTTTCATTTCTACAAACTTATGTTGTTACTTTGTAATGTCTCCTTATCAACTGTAATGTTTTGGCTAGCTATCCAGTATTTGAATATATTAAGTGCACCCCATAAATATGTGCCAATAACAAAACCAAATGAGTTCTAAAGTCTGAATCTGATACTTTCAAAGCTCAATTCTTCTGTGTGCATGGATTACTTTTCTCTTCTCTGTTTTATCTCATGGTTCTCTTAATTGTACTCTTGCCTTCTTATATGGGTCAGAAATATTAACAAATGCACATTACATATAAATATGTAGACATAAATTGAGACTTAGAAAGTTGCTATCTTTCACTATGGAGAAATTTTGCTTATATTTGGCAAATTAAATCAGAGGTACAATTGATCTTGCCCCAATCAGAACTGAATGCATTTGAACTAGACTCCAGTTGTTGTAAGGCATGACCTGTCGTGCATTTGTTTTCTCTTCTACAACATATCCTGCTAAAGTTTTCCTGAAAGCAACTGAGATTTGAAGTGTTTCACTTATCCCTTTGAAACTACTTGGATTCACTATTTCAACTTCAAAGCAAGGATCATGTCATGTAGAAATGCAGAGGGTGTGGCCTTGAAGGTGACTCATCTTTGAGCCCTTATTTTCACTGGGGATTTGACTGCTTAGGTCTATTGCCTTGGTAAAAGTGTAATCCTCACTAAAATGTTTTTATTTTCCTTTTCAAGTTTTTGGCTGTTTTATTCATTGCCCCTGGGGATAAAGTTTTTCTGCAACAAGCTGGTCCACCATAGTTATCTTTGGAGATTCCATGGTTATCAAGAACACATCATTTCTCTTGTCCTTTTAAGTCCCAGAACATTCCAATTATGGTTGCTTTTGTCTTAAGTAACAAACACTGCTCTCATTAATACCTGGCCTTAGCAGCTGTTGGGATTATAACAAAATTTTATAATCTTGTCCCTGCCTTAAGGATAAATATCAGCCTAAGATAGAGACAGCATCAATATCATCTGGAGAATTTGTAAAAAAAATACTGAGAGGGAGGCTCCCCTATGACTTCTTTCTGATTCACTAGGAATGGAAGAGAGCCTCAGACTTTATATTTCTAACACTAGCAATAACTAGGACAACATGG